ATCATAAACTGGGAGCGGACTTTCCATTGAAACACCGTTTGAATGGGGATATGAAGACTTATGTATCATCTTCAAAGCGGACTCCAATATATTCTATATTTAATTTTATCGTTTTATTTAAAGATAATGCGGAACTTCTTAAACGGGAAACTCGTTTCGCAAAATTTATGAATGAAATGACAAGTAAACTCACGTTGCTATAGTAACTAAGTAGTATTTAGCGTTTTCCTCGCCTACTATAATTAAAAATATGAATTTTAATCTTTAATATTTTAAAAATTGAAAAATAACGCTTATTTTCCGCAGAAACATCGTGCGTGCGATACATCATTGGAAAGCTAAAAATATGCTCTTTTCAGTAACATCATAATAAAGTATAGGTTGTATTTAAAAAAATACAACTTTATGTTATATCTCAAAAATTATCAGCTATGTTAAAAAATTTTCAACGGCAGTATATTCTACTCAAAAAAGTGTCTTAAGAATGCATTAACCCCATTTCTCTAATTTGAAAAATAAATGAAATACGAGCATTTTTTGAAATCACTAAAATTTGATTTTTTGGCAATAACTTAAAAACAAAAGAAGATAGAGATTTGGTCTTTACGGGATTGGATTAGTCTCGGAAAAAGAGACCGGGACATGGCACCTACTTTTTTTGTATCTCTTATAGTTTCTGAGATAGCCTATAATAACACCCAAATTTGCCCACCCTGTACAGGATGGTTCAAATTCGATGTCCGAATAGGCTAACTCGGAAACTATAAGAGTTAGAAAAAATTATGTTTAAATGGAACACCTGTATAAGTGAAAATAATTTTACGGTAATAAAAAATGGTGAGTCAAACAACTTTTGTATCAAACATTTTTTTCTTTCTCAAACCGTTTAGCAACAATCGTCAGCCGGAATACTAATAACTCACCCTGTATAGTATACAGGGTTTTTTAACTTTCTAGTTTTAGTGCAATAAAAGTATGCAAATTTTGTTTTTTCGTCTTATATCTTATCAAATATGGCGAGTTTGGTGTCAAATTAAAATTTGTTATCTCAGTTAGTTTTTTGAGATAACCCCATCGAGCTTAGGCTCATTTTAAAGCATTTTTGATTTACTTCACGATATTGAATGAATTAATTCTTTTTAAAAATATTTATAAAATCGAAAATTTCATTTTTATCGACGATAATGTTCAATTCGTAATCTATATTAAAATCCCTTTAATTTGATACCAAACACACCCTACTTAGAACAAAAAATAAAAAAAGTTAGGTTAAAATCACCAATGACTTCCGCCATCTTGAATTTTTTATGAACAAAATTGATTGTTTTTCGGTTAATTTTTTAGATAACCCCATCGAGTTTAGGCTCATATTAAAGCATTTTTGATTTACTTCACGATTTTGAATGAATTAATTCTTTTTAAAAATATTTATTAAATCGAAAATTTCATTTTTATCGACGATAATATTCGATTCGTAATCTATATTAAAATCCCTTTAATTTTTTTTTATTTTTTTAATTTTTAGCTATAATTTACAGGAAACTGTAAATTTAATTTCTTTGATGACACTAAAAAGAATTATTAAAAAAGAACCACTGACTAAAGCATAGCAGTGATCACTGCTCGAGAAATAGTAAATCAAGAGGAACACAGCGTAATTTATACTATTAACCTAGCTACTATGCGTCAAAAGTTATAGTACATTTTCCGAAGGTACAAAAACGTTAAAAAACAATGAAAATAATTTTTTTTTCAAAAATTATAAACGATCGTGAAAATTTTTTCAAGTAAAAGTTATGTGAAATTATGCTGTCTACCCAACTGAACAAAAAAAATTTATAAATTTAAAAAAATAGCGAAATTAGTACTCACATCCGGTATAACCGGAAGTACAAAGTAAATGATTTCATGTCGTAATAATCTGTTTTAACGGCATAATTATGCATTTCAAATGATTTTCTTATATCATTAATAATAAAAAAAAATATGGGGGTGAGCCACTTCTGAGAGACACCCGGTATATTGCGACTTATATGAATATTTCGTAGAAAATTCCTAAATTACGTAGTTTGTAAACGTTAATAAATTTGAACAATTAATCGACTTCATTTTATGTTTTTAACAATTATTTAATATAAATTAAATATTTTTGTCCACGACTACCTTATAATATATACCTTATGAATGAGTTTTCTAAAACAAAATGGTAGTCATTTTTCACGGAGTGAAAATTATAGTCGTGGACAAAGTATACATAGTATTCTACTCGCATATAATGAGCTATTATTCACTCAGGTTAATTATGCCACTCGCTACGCTCGTGACATAAACTTAACCTTCGTGAATAATAGCCCTCATTATATGCTCATATAATAATATACTATTATCTACAACTATTGAATTATCTATTCGTTATACAATTGATTTTTGACGGGTAATGACACGCATTACCCATGACTGACAAAGTGTTGAATAATGAAGCCATTATTCCACAGTTCTGATACGGCCTACTAATCAAAAAATAAAATATTAACAGAAATGGCAGCTTTCTTATATTGAGGTTATGTCTGAAATGTCTTTCAAGTTTATTTTTTTTTTTCTTTTTTTGATTTTTTTTCAAAATTAAATAGTTGTAGATAAAGCATAGTATTCAACTTGCGGATAATGGATGTTACCCACTCAGATTACAACACTCGCTCGCTTCACTCGCTCGTGTTGCAACTTCATCTTCGTGGGTATAGTAGAAACCACGAGAGCTGGCAGTGACAGATCGCTTAAAAATGGTATGAATTAAGATATGGACGTACGACTTGGATTATTTCACCACATACATTTAAATGTAGGTTATGTTAGTAATGGAGGTTATATGTCAAAGATATTATTTAATGATTTTCCTTTCAAAGAAAACATTTTCGGCTTGTGAAAACACTAACAGATTCATGACAACGCTCACAAGATGTTTCGATTTGAGGTTATAATTATAAAGTGACATCCCTTAGAAGAACAGACGTACTTTTTCGACGTGGCCATTTGAATTGTACAGCAGACATGTTAAACTAATGCTATCTCTTTCCAACACACATTACTCTCTAGCGGTTTGTGAACTACGTATGGCATTTGTAAGAGCGGAAAATGATGATTTACTGCCAGCTCTCGTGGCGTCTACTATAACAGCCGCCACTATACGCTTGTTGAATAATATACTATTACTCTCACAAAATGTGTGTTTTAACTGTTTTATTAAAAATAACGTAATACATATTAATACGGACCTGATGTCATAAAATTTATGACAAGCGCCTACTTGTGTTATAAAATCGGGCGCGCTCGCTCGAAGGTTAAAAGTCGGAGTAAAGGAGTTCGTGCCTCGGCCGCAAGCGACCTCGGCTTAAATCTATGATAACGAACAAGAATACAAGACGAGGTCCTGAACCATTACAATGATGAATAAATTTTTAAAGATAGAAAGCGAAGAAGGAACTGCCTCAGTCGCAAACGGCCTCGCCTAGAATCTCCCAAAACTAACTAAAAACTCAAAACTAAAACTAAGCGAAGTCGAGTAACGGCAATGAGAACTTTTAAAGATCAGGAGTAAACGAGCTACCGCCTCGGCCGCAAGCGACCTCGGCTAGAATCTATCAAAACTATTAAGAAGAGAAGTCGAATCACTTAGGACCGAAGCACGACAATGGAGACTTTTGAAGATCAGAGGTAAACGAGCTACTGCCTCGGCCGCAAGCGACCTCGGCGAAAGCCTATCACGATCAACAAGAATATAAAGATAGAAGACACTGCCTCGGCTGAAATCTATCAAAACTTACAAATAAGCAAAATCAGGTCGCTTAGGGCCGAATTGCAACAATAAAGACTGTTAAAGATCAGAAGTAAACGAGCTACTGCCTCGGCCGCAAGCGACCTCGGCAAAAACCTATAACAGTCAACAAAAATGACTTTTAAAGATCGAAATCAAACGAGCTATTGCCTCGGCCGCAAGCGACCTCGGCAAAAAACTATCACAGCCGACAAAAATGACTTTTAAACATCGAAATCAAACGAGCTATTGCCTCGGCCGCAAGCGACCTCGGCTATAATCTATCCTAACCAACAAGAATATGCAAAATGTTATTCCAGAAATTCTTTTTTGCAATTCAAGTCTACTTCTAATTCAGAAATCTTCCAGTTTCAGTCAATTAATTAAAATATAACTTTCTGTTAAACAATTTGATATCATAACAACAATTTATTTACGTAAATCCATAATAAATTTACGTAAACTCCAAGAGTACAATCCAAATAGTAATTAATCAAGTTTTTGATGATGCACATACAAAATTATAAATAATATCGAAAGTAATTTAATTCCGGATTTAATTTGTCGACAGCCAATTAATTATGAAATCACCTTTCCACACAAAAAAATATAATTCATAAGCTTTAACACAAACGTTATCACTCAAATTATAATCAACGTAATTTATTGATTTGCACATAATTATTTTTTAATATTAATTGCCAATAAAATTCGCAATCGAACTAGATGAAGATCATTAATCATTACGTCAGTAATCAAAGACGTTTTGTACGATGTGTTACTCAAAAACGTCTTTTCCCGGTATCTTTTTACGAGAAAAAGGCGTGTATCGTATCAGCAGACAGAAAAAATTCTACAATCCGTAATAAAGTGATAACCCCGCGGAGTTAAAACAGTATTTAAGAATGTAAAAGACCAATACATCAAACGCACTCTTTATTTAACATTCGGTTTAACAACAACCAAAATTAATTTTCGTTAATTACTTTTTAAATTATTTATATTGTTAAGTAAGTGAAAAAGTTTAAAAGAAACGATGCCCGAAACAGAAATGACAGTTGAGGACCATCAAAGGGCTTTGGCCCAAGAACAACATCACCGACCTAGATTGGAATGCGAACAAATTATTCAAAGGGCTTCCTCGATTAATAAAGATCTGATTAATCGAATGCAAAATTCGCAAATTGGGAGGACTTACATTTGCGGTTATGATTTTCACACGAAACAACTTTGTTGTAAGTTATTTTTTATTATTAAATTAATTCATTTTATAAGGGAAAGGAATCGTGGAAGTAGTTTAATAGTAAAATCTAATAATAATAATAATAAAGATAAGACGTTGTGTCTTGAATGAATTATTTTATAAAATCGGTTACTGGCGTGATTCTCTTTGGGTCAAATAAGTTATCGGTTCTTCTTAAATAAAAAATAATATTTAGGAAAAGTATTTAAATACGTCATTTTCATCCTTACTCAATCGCATAAATCTTTGTATGTTAAAAAATGATTAATATTGACGAATAAGCTATTTTTATCGTCTAGTCTTAATCTATTTTTTAATTCGGAGAAGCGCCAAAAAAAAGAAATTACACTAGAAAAATTCGAGATAAGTTCTAGTGATAGTGCTGTATAAAACTAGAACTAACACTAGACCTAGAACTAGAAAATATCGGGTTTAGCCGTAACTTAGCCCTAAACTTTCTAGTTCTAGGTCTAGTGTTAGTTCTAGTTTTAATTGTTATTCAGCGTTAGATTGTTGTATATNGTACGGTAATCACCGTACGTGTACGGTAATTCCACTAAATGTATGGTGTACGGTCCAAAGATGAATATCGTACAAAAATATACGGTAATTTAGAAATCTGTACTTTAATTTAAAACCAAAAAAAACCACAATATTTTCGTTGGTTATATTGGCGTATAATATTCTTCTCTATTCATGTCGATTCTAATTCTATGTTTACATTTTACAATATTCCGCTTATGACCATATACCATATACAGGTGTCGCGAAACTCAAAATAAAAATAATATGAAGTCAATTTTATCCATTCTACCAGTGTATCAGGTGCAAAATTTATACAACGAATTCACTGTATTTTAACTGGTTTAATGTACAATTTAATTTATCTTGCTAGTTAAAGCGGCATCTTCAGAGACTTCGTCAAGTTTTATGAAAATAACAGTTTCAAAGATAATTATATCGAACATTGTATAAAACGAGATCTTGATAAACTTTTTAAACTATTAATTCCGATGTGTAAGTCTCATTGTCAGACGTAATCAACCTTTTTGGTTTTAACGTGCATAATCATATAATATACATCATATAATGTAAATATTAACGTGTAAAACATTTTGTTAATTATTATCTTTGAAATTATTATTTTCATAAAATTTGACGAAATTTGACGAAACTAGTAAGACAAATTAAATTATACAATAAACTAGTTAAAGTACAGTGAATCGGTTCTTTAAATTTTACTCCAAATAAAAATAAGAAAAAATTCTATGCCTCTTAGTTAAGTGATAATAGAAGAAAAAAAAATTATTTTGACATACCATTTCTAAAAAAAGAATAATACTTGGCAACTAATTTTAAAAGATGGCCTGTTTACTCAAGATTTCAAAACGGTACAACAGTTGCCATTTTTCTTTTCATAAAAACTGTTATTGTCTGTTTATTTGAGAAAAAACACGTTATTTAAAAAGTTTATACTTTCCTATGCTATTTGTATTTTCTGCAAAATAAGTTACCAACTTTGTTAGAAGATGTGCCACTCAATATTTACGAAGAAACGTGAATGTTAATGTTATACTTAAAATAAATTTTTACCTATTTGTTTGCACAGTTCATTTTATAGAATTTATTTCGCAAAACCTTTTGTATCACTACCACTTTTAGTGCAAGTATGGTATTTTTACATAAAATACGGTAATTTTCGTTTTCAAGTACGATACTACAGCCTCCTCTGTGTGGCAGCACTGGTTCTAGTGCTAGTATCAGTTTTATATGTTATTCAGCTCTAGATTATTGTATATTTTTATTGAGCTATAACGAATACTGCCTTCCCGGTCTTAATCCGTTATATCGAGGTTTAGTGTAATGTCAAATTATATTAACAAGTTGCATTTTATATGGGACAAAGTAAGTAGGTTTTTATTATGTTTAAACAAATAAGTAATTAAATTCGTAACTACATAGTTTACTTAAAATCCTCTCTGGTTTTAAAATACCTGCCAAAAAATAGCTTTGAAAAATTACACTGTGTAAACGTGACTTTTCATTTTACTACTTCAAATTAAAAAATTGAGTATAGTTGAAAAGCAATTATTAAAAATTACAACAATAATCTTTCTTAACAAGATACTGCCTCGCCCTTATCTTATGAAAACTAATAGGAAGTCGAGTCGATTAGGGCCGAGGAACAAGGGAATAAACGAGATACTGCCTCGGCCACAAGAGGCCTCGGCTAAAATATAACATAATTAATAAGAATATAGGGCGAGGTTGCTTACAACAAAGGCGCTATAACGAGGACCTTCAAAAATAGAAAACGAACGAGATACTGCCTCGGCCGCAAGCGACCTCGGCTAAAATGTAACATAACTAATAAGAAAATAGAAAAAACTTTTAAAGATCGGGAGCAAACGAGCTACTGCCTCGGCCGCAAGCGACCTCGGCTAAAATCTATTACAAGCAATAAGAATATAAGAAGATTTTGCTCGCAGCTGAAGCGCTACAGTGATGACTTTTAAAAATCAAGAGCAAATGAGCTACTGCCTCGGCCGCAAGCGACCTCGGCTAAAATCTATTACAAGCAATAAGAATATAAGCCGGGGTTGTTCGCTGTTGAAGCGTTACGATGACTTTTAAAGATAAAGAGCGAAAGAGGTGCTGTCTTGACTAGAATCTATCAAAACTAATAAAAAGTCGAGTCGTTTAGGGCCGAAGCACAATGACTTTTAAAGATAATAAGTAAACGAGCTACTGCCTCGGCCGCAAGCGACCTCGGCTAAAGTCTATTACAAGAAATAAAAATGTAAACCGATTTTGATCGCTACAGTGATAACTTTTAAAGTTCAGGAGCTAATGAGCTACTGCCTCGGCCGCAAGCGACCTCGGCTAAAATCTATCATAACCAACAAGAATATAAGCCAAAGTTACTAAAAAAAAGGATAAGAAAAGTATTTAAATACGTCATTTTTCATCCTTACTCAATCACATAAACCTTTGCATGTTAAAAATCGATTAATATTGCCGAATAAACAATTTTTATCGTCTGGTCTTAATCGTTAGTTGAAAAACAATTCTTAAAATAAAAAAAAACAATCTTTCTTAACCGTCCAATTTTAAATAGATAATGGCGTGATGTTTTTATGGCGCCAAAAATAATTTTGCAACGTCTTATCAATTTGTTTTGACTTATAATAATCAAATTTTTGTATCATAATCTACTTTGTTGCCTTTCTTTTTCATCGAAAAGCAATTAATACTAATTATTTTAATTAATCTTAATTTCAGTTGTAGCCGTTTTATTGATTCTGTTCGTTTTGAGCATCATTTCCGTCTCGTTGATTTGGTTTACTTCATCGTTCGATAACTTTGTGTTATCGGTAAGTTAAAAAAATTAATTTAAACTAAAACATTAATTATATATTAATTGTTATTATTTGTGTTTCAGCACTTAATTATCACTCCGAAAAATGATATCTTCGAAGAATGGTCCAACCCAACTTATCGGTCTCACGTTAAAGTGCACATCTTTAATTACACCAACATCGATGCTTTTAAAGCTGGTAAAGATAAAAAGTTGAGAGTTAAGGATATCGGACCTTACCATTACGAGTAAGTACTTAATAATTAATTAAAATAAATCGTAATTACATCATTTATAGGGAAATTAAAGAAAAAATTAACGTTCAAGTCCACGATAATGGGACGGTTACGTATCAGGATCGACTTAATCATCGATTTAATCCACGATTATCCAAAGGGAAGCAAAGTGATGTGATTTATGTGCCGAATATTTTAACATTGGTAAGATTTTTCATCACTAATTATTAATAATAATGTTTATGGAGTTACAGTACCTAAAACAAAAGCAAAATATTAATTAATTGAATCAAAAAAATTAAATTATAACAAACCTTTTTTGAATTTGCCGCCTAATTCGGGTTGTTGAAATATTTTTTTGAAAGAAAATCTCACTTCCTCTTCGAAAAAATCGATGCTATAAGATAAAAATAACCAAGTTTTAATCACCGGTAATTAAAAACTTAAATTAATTAATTAAAAAAGGCGATATTAACATTATAAAGATGATAAATGGCGCAAAAAAAATATTAACCTCAATTTTCTTTTTAATCAAAGAAAAAATTTTTTTTCCCTCCTCACTCCAAAGAATCGATCTTAACTTAATTCTCAAACATTAATAACCAAGTTATAACCACTTTTAACTCAAATTAATACCATTTTCCACTCAAAAACTCGTTTTTTATGAAACGTTTTTGCAACGAAACTTTTTGACGCAAAATGATGGCGCCCTCTATCATTCAATTTCAAATTCAATTTATTAATATTATTACTTAAATAAAGATTTTTATTTAAACAACAATAAATTGATCTCAAATCAAATTGATTTTAACAATTTCTTTCGATTAATCAATTTTAATTAATCGATTAAATAATTTTATAAAAGTTAAAACAGGAATCTGTCAAATCGATACATAACCTCAAAATTTTATTTCAATTAATCCTTTTTATGTTTTTTTCGCTTTAACCACGCATTAATTTTTGGGAATTTAACTAATATTTTAGTGTTAATTAAATAAAAAGTACAAAATCTAACTTAATCAACAATTTTAATAAAAAAAAACTAACCTTAATTTCTTTTTAAATAAAAAAAAATTTTTTTTGCACTCCACACTCCAAGAAATCAATCTTAATTTAATCCACGAGCATTAATAACCAAGTTATAACCACTTTTAACTCAAATTAACTTCATTTTCCACTCAAAAACTCGTTTTTTACGAAACGTTTTTGCAACGAAACGTTTTGACGCAAAATGACAGCGCCCTCTATCATTCAATTTCAAATTCAATTTATTAAAATTTTTAAATAAAGATTATTTTTATTTAATTAACAATAAATTGATTCCAAATCAAATTGATTTTAACAATTTTTTTCGATTAATCAATTTTAATTAATCGATTAAATTATATAAAAGTTAATTTATAAACGTTAAAACAGGAATCTGTCAAATCGATACACAACCTCAAAATTTTATTTCAATTAATACTTTTTATTTTTTTTTCGGTTTAACCACGCATTAATCTTTGGGAATTTAACTAATATTTTAGTGTTAATTAAATAAAAAGTATAATATCTAACTTAATCAACAATTTTAATATTAAAAAAAAAACTAACCTCAATGTCTTTTAAACCAAAAAAAAACTTTTCTTTCACTCTACACTCCAAGAAATCGATCTTAACTTAATCCACGAACATTAATAACCAAATTATAACCAATTTTTACTCAAATTAAGCACACTTTCCACTCAAAAACTAGTTTTTTATGAAACGTTTTTGCAACGAAACTTTTTGACGCAAAATGATAGCGCCCTCTATCATTCAATTTCAAAATCAATTGATTAAAATCATTATTTAAATAAAGGTTAATTTTATTTAATCAACAATAAATTGATCCCAAATCAAATTGATTTTAAGATTAATCAATTTTAATTAACTTTTTAATAATTAATTTTAATAAATCGATTAAATAATTTTATAAAAGTCAAAACAGGAATCTGTAAAATCGATACATAACCTCAAAAAACATAACCTCAAAATTTAATTTGAATTAATTTTTTTATCTTTTTAGTCAGCGGCTAAAAAAACCGAAAACAACTTTTTCATGCAATGGACCGCTTCGGTGACCCTTCAAAGCCCCTTTATAAAGCAAGCAGCCCACCGATTCATTTGGGGCTACGAAGATAACGCCTACAATTTAATGAAGGGGGTGTTAAGGTTCCAAAATCAAAGGGTTTCGGATAACATCGGCTTATTAGCTACGGTACTACATTAAATTGCATTAAATTAAATCAAATTAATAATAAATTTTTTTTTAATAGAGAAATGGAACTTTACCCTACACCTTAACAGTAGGAACTGGTTCAAAATCAATAAACAACATCGCTAACGCCATAAAAATCGATTCAAACACTCAATTTGGGAAATGGTCCACGGAAGAATGCGATCGGATACACGGAAGTGATGGGACTCAATTTAATCCGTTTTTGATTCGTGAAAAGAAGCCAATTACTGTTTTAACCCCGGAATCGTGTAGAACATTGGAGTATGTTTTTAGTCACGAGGTGAAAGTGATAAACAAAACGATTAAAGCTTACAAATACATTTTACCAACATCAGTTTACGACGCGCCAGATAAAAATCCAGATAACCAATGTTATTGTGATTTAGATTCGGGTTATTGCGCCCCACAAGGTTTCCTTGACATCTCAAAATGCGTTTTTGACACCCCCCTTTATATCTCGATGCCACATTTTTACAACGTCGATCCAGATTATTTTAAAGTCGATGGTTTAGATCCAACTTACTCAAAAGCTGAGAGTTATTTGATGGTTCATCCAAGAATGGGATTCGCTATTGGAGGGAGTTATAAGTTCCAAATTAATATTTTGGCCAAAAATCTTTTTGGATTCACCAGTATGAGTATGTTTAAAGACGACACAATGTTGCCAATAGCTTGGGTTGATGTCGGATTGGAGGAGAACGCCATTCCAGAGAAAACCATCGAAAAAATGTATCAAGGAACCTTTGTTGTGAAAAACATCGAATTAGGAATTAAGTACGTCTCAATTTTAGTGATGATTTTGAGCGCTGCCGCTATCGTTATCGTAACGAGATCGAAATGGGAAGGAAAAATTAAAAATTGTTACACAAATTCGGCTTGATTTTTATTGTTTTTTAATTAGCTAAGACTGATTTTTGTAAAATCACTCAGATTATTGTAAATAGTAATGAAATTGTTGTGATATTTGTTAATCCATCCATAAATTGTTATTGAAATATATTTGTTTAAAGAAATTTTTTTTTAATTAATTTATGCAACCAATTATACAATTTCGAGGTTAAGGTCAAATTGGTTGCCTACTTTGGAAATGTTTATCAAAAATTTCGCTCTACACCCCCAAAAAAATCTTAATAATTAAATTAAGATTAAATTTCTTATTATTAACTTTATAAAAGTTAAAACAGGAATCTGTCAAATCGATACATAACCTCAAAATTTCATTCAAATTATTCCTTTTTGTTTTTTTTCCGCATTAACCGCGCATTATTTTTTGGGAATTTAACCATTATTTTAGTTTTAATTAAATAAAAAGTACAAAATCTAACTTAATTAACTATTTTAATAATAAAAAAAGAACTAACCTCAATTTTTTTTAAATAAAAAAAACATTTTTTTTTCACTCCACACACCACAAAATCGGTCTTAACTTAATCCTCAAACATTAATAACCAAGTTATAATCACTTTTAACTCAAATTAACAACATTATCCACTCAAAAACTCGTTTTTTATGAAACGTTTTTGCAACGAAACTTTTTGACGCGAAACGATAGCGCCCTCTATCATTCAAATTCAAATTTAACTTATTAAAAATATTGAAATAAAGATTATTTTTATTTAATCAACATTAAATTGATCCCAAATCAAATTGATTTTAACAAGTTCTTCCGATTTTGATTAATCAATCGATTAAATAATTTTATAAAAGTTAAAGTAGGAATCTGTCAAGTCGATACATAACCTCAAAAAACAGTTCGCACGTTCACCAAGGTTACTGTCAAATTGGTTGCCTACCTCGCAAATGTTTATTAAAAATTTTATTTTAATCGTTTTTAACTCAAATATCATTACTTCTCGCTGATTTAAAACTAAATATAATAATTTTTGAGTCAATAACGATATTATTTAAATATTCATAAATTAATTTATGGGATTTTAAATATTCCATAAGAAATTAGTTTACTTATTCTAAATTATTCATTGTTTTATTTTTTAAGTTAAGACTGATATTTGTAAAAACACTTAAATTATTATTCTAACTAGTAATGAGATTATTATGATATTTGTTAATCCCTCCAGGAATTGTTATTGAAATATATTTGTTTAAAACAATTTTTTTAAATTAGTTTATGCAACCAATTATACAATTTCGAGGTTTATGTCAAATTGGTTGCCTACCTCGGTTTTGTTAATTAAAAATTTTATTTTAATCATTCTTAACTCAAATATCATTATTCTTCGTTGATTTAAAACAAAATATAACGAACTAAACAGTTAGAGAATAATTTTTGAGTCAATAACTTAATTTTATTTGTGTTTTTGACGTAAAACGATAGTAGTCAAGTTTAACTTATTAATATCTTTAAATAAAGATTATTTTTATTTAATAAACATTAAAATGATCCCATATCAAATTAATTTTAACAATTTCAATAATTTTAATTAAACGATTAAATAATTTTATAAAAATTAAAACAGGAATCTGTCAAATGGATACATAACCACAATTCGTGCATTCCACAAGGTTAATGTCAAATTGGTTGCCTACCTCGGATTTGTTTATTAAAAATTTTATTTTAATCATTTTTAACTCAAATATCATTATTTTTCGTTGATTTAAAATAAAATGTAATGAAGAAAAGAATTAAAAAACAATTTTTGAGTTAATAATGATATTATGACGTAAAAAATCGGGGAAGTCCCATTTTATTTCGAAATCATTGAGTGAGGCGTGTCGTGGTGTAAAGGTTATTTGATAATTTCGTTTTCTCCTCAGTTTTATTTATATCTCACTGTTTATTGTGAGTTTAATGAGTTAGTTAACTAAGTTGGTGCGCCGCTATTGTTTAAAAGTTTATTTTTTATAACCTCCAAAAAATTTTTTTTAATTACTTCAAGTTTAATCGTAATTAAACGTTTCAATCGACGAGAATTGATTCATTTAGTTGAAACGTCACCTTGGAGTCAACAATTATTAATAATTTAAGGCGAATTCATCGAAATCATGTCCAAGGTAAAGTGACATAACCTCAAAAAAATTTTTTCCTTAATTTTTATCCGAATTATGTGTTATTTCCGATATTATTCATAAATTCATCAATTAATTTGTTTGATTTAAAACATTCCATAACAAAATTAGTCTATTTATTCTAAATTATTTATATTTAATTTTTTTTTTAGGTTAGAAAATTTTTGACAGCTCAATAATGACCCAATTTTCCACTTAAAATTAGATAAAAACAGATTTGGGGGCACTCCAAGTTCTCATTAACACAAAAGGGAGTTATTAAATCCATCCCTATTGCTTTATTTAAAGTTTAAGGATTAAATTTTTTGATTTAATAATCGTAATGAAGTTTTAGGTTATTTTTATAAAAAACCATGATTAATAAGCGCAAATTGAGCCTAGAAAAGATTAAATGACGAATAAAAGCGGGCAATTTGCCAATTTTTTTATTAAAAAAAAAGGTAGATTTTCTCTACAACCGTTTAAATCGGAGTGTATACGTTAGTTGATTCGAAAAGGCTTAAAATAGCTTTCCCAAGCGACTCTGTGTAGAAACGCGATTTAAAATAACTCAGTATACCAGTGAACCTTTTAAACTCAACAACCTTACCAAAAAAAAGCAAATAATCACGTTATTATAACCATTAATTTAATTAATTCTATTTCGTTGATTAATTGTTACCGATTTAACTGATTTATTTGTTATCAGGAACCAGATCTATCTAAATTAACAATGGAAGATGGTGTCGAACACGAAATTTGTGGAAATTGGTGAGTTTTTAATTCTATTTATAAAACTTAACGCGTTTAAAATCTAATTTTATTCTCTTTGTTGATTTTTTTGCAGCAAAAAAGAAATTCCTCACTTTAATTATGTGATGCACACCGCTCATTGTGCCAGGAACATCACTTTATGTCCCATTTGTAAAGAACCAATACCGAAAAATCAATTCGAGGAGCACAAAGGCTCGCATAAAACCACAACAAAGCCGACAACGTCGAGGAAAATCGAAGAAAAAGTCGATTTTCCACGTCAACTATCGAAATCGCACCAAAACTCAGGGGCTACGCCGAAAAAATTAGACGAATTTAACTTAAAAGATCCCGGGAGTAAATTGAAAGTGCGCAGGGAGAAAGAAAAGGGTGAAATGGTTAAGAAGGAGGAAAATAAATTTAGTAGGGAAGCTAATTTTGAGTATCAAGCACCCAAAAACGTGGCTAATAATCTCTTGGCTTGTCGATATTGTGATTTGGAGCTTGTCAAGTTGGATTTGGAGGACCACGAAAATTATTGCGGAAGTAGAACTGATAAATGCAACGTTTGTGGGGAATTGGTCATGTTTAAATATAAAAAGTTGCATGAAGAATCAAATCATGGATTTTTAAAACTAAATGATGGTAAGAAATTTCTTTTTTTCATTATATTTTGTTTTAAATTAAAGAAAAATAATGATGTGTTAGTTAAAATATCATTTTAAATAAACATTAGGAGAGGTAGGCAACCAATTTGACATTAACCTAGTTGAACTGTTTTTTGAGGTTATGTATTGATTTGACAGATTCCTGTTTTAATTTTTATAAAATTATTTAATTGATTGATTAAAATTGATAAATCGGAAGAAATTGTTTAAATCAATTTGATTTGGGATCAATTTAATGTTGATTAAATAAAAATAATCTTTATTTAAAGATTTTAATAAGTTGAATTTGAATACTATCGTTTTACGTCAAAAACGTTTAATGTTTAAGAAATTCTTTTTTTCATTATTTTTTGTTTAAATTAAAGAAAAATAATGATATTTAAGTTAAAAATGATTAAAATGACATTTTAAATAAACATTTGCGATGTAGGCAACCAATTTGACATTAACTTTGTTGAAGGCAGAAACTGTCTTTTGAGGTTATGTATTGATTTGAGAGATTCCTGTTTTAATTTTTATAATATATTATAAAGAAAGACAAATTACAATTAATGCATTAATAGTAAAAGAATTAAAACGTAAGTTATTATCAGTTTCACAACTACTTAAAAAAAGAAATAAAAGTAATATTTACAAGAAATATTATAAATAATTGTTACAAGGGAAAAAATAGATACAAAACAAAGGCATAACGAAGAAAACCCGACTGAATATGAAGATAATGAAACTACGACAGACGACAGAGAAGAAGATAAAACGCACTAAATCTGGTCGACAAGTTAAAAAACCTAACCACTGAAGATCCTGAAACATTTCAAGAGGCTGTAAAAGAACAAAACTGGAAAGAAGCAATAAAAAAGGAATTAAATTCATTAAAAAAACTAAAAACATGGGAAGAAACCAACCTAACTGAAGGAAAGAAAGCTATAGAAACAAAATGATAATTAACTTCAGGTTTAAACTGTCAACCTTAATTTTGACATATTTATAATCTTCATTAAAAATCCTTTAAAATGAGTACAAACACGACATATTTATCTTCAATATTAACGAAGTTATGGTCAACTTCCGGTTAGAAATGTCAACGTCAATTTTGACATATTTGTAATCGTCGTGAAAAATCCTTTAAAATGAGTCCAAACATGATACGCTTAATTCCAATATTACTCGAGATATAAGCAACTTCCGGTTTGAAATGTCAATGTCATTTTGACATATTCTTAATTTTTATAAAATGTCTTAATATTTGTCACAAAAACAAAAATATAATAAAAAAAAATCAAAAATTAAGGTTGGTATTAATATTTAAAAATTAAATTGCTATCTTCATTGTTGCCAACTTCGGGTTTAATGTTTTTTTATTCAAACTTTTTTGTTTTTTGAGATAAGTGCGTCTTGTTTGGACTCATTTTAAAGGTCTTTTAATGAGGATGACAAATATGTCAAAATTGACGTTGACGTTTCAAACCGGAAGTGATTGTATCTCCATTAATATTAAAGTTAAATATGTCGAGTTTGGACTCATTTTAAAGGATTTTTTATGAAGTTGACAAATATGTCAAAATTAAAAGTTGAAAGTTCGAACTTTTTG